AAAATCATAACAGTAAATAAGGAACACTCAAAAAGGGGAACTCCAGACAAGAAACAATCAGGGACAGCTAATCACCTCTCCACAAAGGCAGTAAGAAGCCACACCTGCAGCTGCTAGGCCATTCAATGCTGATCAAGGTGGCCAATGGAAACATTCACACATACCTCCAACAGACGAGAGTTCTTTCTCCCACCCTGGACATTCCACAGATATATAAACCCCATTTTTCTTGTTTCCGATGGACCTCACAATCTCTGAGGATGCCTGCCATAGATGCAGGCGAAACGTCAGGAGTGAATGCTTCTGGAACATGGCCAGACAGCCCAGAAAACACACAACAACCTGGCAGAATTATTTCTGAAACTCTAAATAGAACAGAGGTTTTGATACTCACCGTCAGCTCCTCTGCATCTGGAGACCAACTCCCACAGGACTAGTCCCATTGCATACATGTCTATTCTTAGGAAGGCGTCTCTCTGGAAGTTTATAGCTCCCTCTAAGACCTCAGGAGCCATGTATCTCCTGGTTCCCACCTGAGGCAGAAAAACAACTTTAGTCATTGAGACTGAATGGCAACAAAGGAGGAGGAAAGGCTGGCCACTCTCAATTAAAATGTTATTACCCTCCAAAAGTATCTGTATCAACAAAAAGCAGAAATTTACTCTTTGTGTTTCAAATTGGATGACTTTATGAAGTTAGTTAAAGCTGCAAGGATTTCAATAGGGAAACTCACTCATGGCATGGCTATGAACTATGAAAATTGAGATAAGAGGCTGGATAGCTCTTTTCAGGTAAAGCACAAATCAAGACAATTTGGGAGAGATAGTAAACCTGCAAGGCTGTGTAGTAATTTTATTTGGCTTGGAGAAAATGCAAGCTACTGAACAGAGGCACCATCAAGAGTAATGTTTCTTAAACTAAGGAAGAACTATTCCTGTTGCAAAAGGAGGTGACATGAAACAGGAACTCTTTGTGAAGTTTCAGTTGTTACCTGTCCATGGGTATCTCCTGGAGGTTTTCCAGGTTCAAACCGTACAGCCAATCCAAAGTCAGCTAGCACGGCTGTCAAGTCACTCTTCAACAATACGTTTTTGCTCTTGAAGTCCCTACAAAAAGAAGAGCAGCAATGAAGGAATACAGAGGTGTTTAACATACCCCACATTTTTGAAATACAACAAAAGATGCAACTGATCAGTGATTGGGTTGTTGTAGGTTTTTCCGGGCTATATGGCCATGTTCTAGAGGCATTTTCTCCTGACGTTTCACCTGCATCTATGGCAAGCATCCCCACTTGCCATAGATGCAGGCGAAACGTCAGGAGAAAATGCCTCTAGAACATGGCCATATAGCCCGGAAAAACCTACAACAACCCAGTGATTCCGGCCATGAAAGCCTTCGACAATACATTGATCAATGATTGCACTTGACAACAATCTTCTTTTGTTTGTTGTCTACAGGAATTTTTGGACTGGCTGCAAAAATACAGAGATTTCTACCAAGGGAAAGATTAATAAACAAAACAAAGAGAACTTGGAAGGACAGGACAATCTTCTGAATTCCCTTATCATTCCACTGCCAGAAGGGGCAGAGAGTTTCATCTATGCTGATGATTGTGCCATCACCGCCCAAGCAAGGCGCTTTGAAATGGTTGAACATAAGCTCTCCGAAGCTTTAGGTGCTCTTACCATCTATTACAGGGAAAAGCAGCTGATTCCTAATCTGCCTAAAATGTAGACATGTGCTTTTCACCTTCAGAACAGACAAGCGTCTCAAGCTCTGAGGATTACCTGGGAAGGAATCCCATTTGAGCATTGCAGCACACCCAAATACCTGGGAGTTACCCAGGACCATGCTCTGACCTACAAAAAGCACTGCTTGAATATCAAGGAAAAAGTGGATGCTAGAAAGCCGGTTGGCACAACCTGGGGATCACAACCAGACACAGTGAAGACATCTGCCCTTGCGCTATGCTACTCTGCTGCTCAGTATGCATGCCCAGTGTGGAACACATCTCACCATGCTAAAACAGTGGGTGTAGCTCTTTATGAGACATGCCACATTATCACAAGATGGCTATGCCCCAAACCACTGGCGAAATTATATTGTTTAGCTAATATTGCACCACCTGATAGCCGTTGGGAAGTAGCAGGCAATAATGAAAGGACCAAGGCAGTGACATCTCTGGCCCATCCCCTGTTCAGATATCAGCCAGCACACCAATGCCTTAAATCAAGAAATAGTTTTCTAAGATCTACAGAGATACTCGTAGGAACACCTCAGCAGGTGAGAGTCCAAAAGTGGCAGGCTAAAACCCAGAACCTCAATCAATGGCTGATAACAAATGAGAGACTCCCTCCTAGGCACAAAGAAGACTGGGTGACTTGGAAGGCACTGAACAGACTGCACTCTGGCACCAAGAGATGCAGAGCCAATCTTAAGAAATGGGGCCACAAAGTGGAGTCCATGGCATGTGAGTGTGGAGAAGAGCAAACCACAGACCACCTATTACAATGCAGTCTGAGCCCTGCCACATACACAATGAAGGACCTTCTTATAGCAACACCAGTAGTACTCCAAGTGGCCAGTGCCTGGTCAAAGGAAATTTAGTATAATGCCAAGTTTTAAAAACTTTTTTCTTTTTTAAATACATTACAACTATATCCTTGGTTTGCTTCTGATACGATAAATAAATAGCTCTTCAGACAATGTTTTCCTTGAGAAACTCAGTTACAGTTTCTAAGCAGCCCGATTCCTTTCAGAGAGAAGATTATATTGGGCACACATCTTTGCCCTTACCTACCCAAGTAAAAGTCCTGCTTATTAAGTCATTCCCAGACTTTCCAGCATTTTCAATGGGGGTGGAGAGAAAGGGATGCATATAATTAAATTACAGACCTTAGGCAGCAGATGGCAAGCCCATGTGTGCTCAGCATTATAATTCTCCTGCCATCAATTCAGTTCACTGTGGCAACCCTGCCGGTCAGATCGCAGGACAACTGGGCGGAGGGAGGGGGGGCATGCGAGATAATTAATGAGGGCAGATACAATTGTTTTCTGAAATGTCCTGTCAGAATCTGTTACAAAAAGAGACACCGCAGCAAAGAGAGCGAGCGTGCAGGCAGCGGGGTAGGGAAGAGTTCAGTGCATTCCCAGGGCACAGGGTGCCTTATGGGAGGACCGTCCCTGCAATTTCGGAAAGGAAGCCAGAGTGCAAGCTCGCTCTCCCCTTCTGCTGGAGGCATGCTAAAAATGGGAGCACAGATTCAAAATATGCTTATTTGCAAAACCAGAGCAGAGGTGGGGGGAAAATGTGACAGTCCCTATTAAGCATTGAAATTGTTGGATAATTTCACTGTATTGCTTTTATAAACCTGCCTGTTGGCTCCAAGTTTCTTGCTAAGGGATTAAAAGAACCTGCAAAAACTGTTTTGCTTCCTTATTGGGAAAGTGTTGGCTTCTTAAGGCTTCCCACAAGGCAGTTTGTTGTTCACCAACATTTTGAAGTAAGATCTTTATTGTTTGCCTTCAAGTTGTTTCCAGTCTATGCTAACTCTAAAGTAAACCTATCGGCAGGATTTGTATGGAAGGCTTTTGCCATCGTCTTCCTCCATGGCAGAGACTATGTTGTAAACATATAGTTTGAAACAACAAAAAACAATGAGGAGGCAGTTCTCAAATAATAAAGTCCCAAGCCACTTTATTGACTCTATTTAATAGAAGTTGCTTTTGACAATTTTATATGTTTGGTTTCATGTAAATATGTTACTGATTTTATATGTTGATGTATTGCACTTTATGTGTTGCATGGCACCATTGTGTGCTATTTTATAAGCTGCCCTGAGTCCTATGGGAGATGGTGGAAGGGCATAAATGAAGTTTTTATATGTATTGTCAAAGGCTTTCATGGTCAGAATCACTGGGTTGCTGTGAGTTTTCTGGGCTGTACGGTCATGTTCCAAATCAAATCAAATCAAAGAGTTGGAAGAGACCTCATGGGCCATCCAGTCCAACCCCCTGCCAAGAAGCAGGAATATTGCATTCAAAGCACCCTTGACAGATGGCCATCAGCCTCTGTTTAAAAGCTTCCAAAGAAGGAGCCTCCACCACACTTGGGGCAGAGAGTTCCACTGCTGAACAGCTCTCACAGTCAGGAAGTTCTTCCTCATGTTCAGATGGAATTCTCTCCTAACGTTTTACCTGCATCTATGGCAGGCATCCTCAGAGGTTGTGAGGTCTGTTGGAAACTAGAAAAAATGGGGTATCTATCTATCTATCTACCTACCTACTTACCTACCTACCTATCATCTATCTATCTGTAGAATGTCCAAGGTGGGAGAAATAACTCTTGTCTGTCTGAGGTAGGTGTGAATGAAGGTGTCCAGATTTTGAAGCTGCAAACCTATTAAATACTAATCAAGCTGGCCAACTGAAACCTTCACAACTGCCTCAAACAAGAGTTCTTTCTCCCACCCTGGACATTCCAGATGTATAAACCCCGTTTTCCTAGTTTCCAACAGACCTCACAACTTCTGAGGATGCCTGCCTTAGATGCAGGCGAAACGTCAGGAGAGAATGCTTCTGGAACATGGCCATACAGCACGGAAAACTCACAACAACCCAAAGTTTTTGCAATGTATACTACTATTACTATTACTACTAGGTACAAAGTTATACTGTCCTTAAGGGCCGTAGCTTGGGGAGGGGGATTAAAAGTTTAACCCTACCCTGAAATGTGTCAGGTTATGGTTTACTCATAACTTGGTTAATCAGTTAAAATTCTTGAGTAAACCAAGTTTCGGAGGGGGGGGGTTAGAACCTTTTCAGGGGGATTAGAACTCTTATCCCCCCCCCCCAGCTATGGCCCTGTTGTCCTACCTAGTACATGCCTAAATGTCAGCTCTTATGTCCCCATCAGAAAGACCTCAAGCCCCAAACTAATATGGGTCTATGAGGAATTTGGTGCCAGAACGAGAATTTTAAGAGATTACTCATTTTTAAATGTATCTTTTTTGCTTTTGTTGGGGGGAAGACACAACGAAAAGGAGTGTGTAATAAACAAAACCAAAAAGACAATTTCTGCATTGATCCACTTCTTGCCTGCAGTATATTCTTACTGCACATTAGAGGGCAGTGCTGCACCAAAAAGCTTGCACAATATTTTTCACACTTTCTACAATGGAACGCTTTTCATTTCCCATGGAAGCCCTGCATGAAACAATAAAATAACTGTGCAGCCCATTATAGGACAGGGGTATACTTCTGCATGGGCCCTGAATCCTTTCTTGTGGCTTACGGAGCCCCAGTGTTGTGTGAGGACAAAATAGCCACACATATGCTGTCCTAAGTTCCTAAAATGAAAAGTGCAATACATGTTTTCATTCCTTGCTATTTATCACTTCCACCCTACAATTCCTTTCTCTCTCTTGTTCACTATGTCTCCACAACCATTCCCCAAGATATACAGACCCCCAGGTGTGTTGCATTATAACTACAATCATCACAAGTGAGCACAACCACTGGTAATGGTGTTGTGGAGTTATAGCCCAATGCATGGGGAACGCCACATTGTTTTCAACATTCTTTGTGTTTATATAACACAGCTTTGTATTTAATGTAAGCAAAAAAAGAAAAAAAAACAGTCTTGTCATAATGTAAAGGTGATATTGCTTTGTTCTCTATTCTCTTGTAGCACTTCTTTGTTCTGCGTTCTGTTGTAATTTGCACTTGTGGCATGCACCAAGCAGGGCTTGCTCGAGAGATGTCTACCTCCCCTTTTTTTTTGTCTTTCGTACTCAAAGAAAGTTTCAAGATTGGCTCCAACATATTCAAGCCCCCAAGCTGGCAATCTTCGGGAGGAATCTGAAAACCTGGTTATTCCAATGTGCTTTCAGTGATTGAATGTAAGATACTCCCTGACCAAACTTTGCACAAAATGTCCTTAGAAGCACTTTATTTATGGCTCGTGCAATTAAATCCTCCCTCACTCTCGGATCCTCATCCTGATAATTTTACATTGTCCAATCTCCCAGTGTTTTAAAATTTTATTCTTGAATGTGGCCCTGGCCAGTGAAATCCTTTGTTTTTAATTGTTTGTTTTTATACTGTTGTTTGCTTATTATATTGATTTTTGCATTTTATGTATTTTTTTTCCTGGTATTGTTATGTTTTTGTATTATAATGTGTGTACTGTACTGATGCGTGTGGCCCCATGTAAAACACACAGAGTCCCCCTGGGGGAGATGGAGCGGGGTATAAACAAAGTTATAGTTATTATTATTATTATTATTATTATTATTATTATTATTATATTCAAGGGAGCTAATACAACTTCGGCAAAACACCTTAGTTGTGCTCACAATGCATCATAGAATCGTTGTGTTGGAAGAGACCTCGTGGGCCATCCAGTCCAACCCCATTCTGCCAAGAAACAGGGAAATCACATTCAAAGCATCCCCGACAGATGGCCATCCAGCCTCTGCTTAAAAGCCTCCAAAGAAGGAGCCTCCACCACACACTGGGACAGAGAGTTCCACTGCTGAACAGCTCTCACCGTTAGGAAGCTCTTCCTAATGTTCAGGTGGAATGTCCTTTCCTGTAACTGCACTCTTCATAGAAAGAATCACACCACACTGTCCTTATAAGGTAAAGTTTTTCCCCTGATATTAAATCCAGTCATGTCCGACTCTGGTGGTTGGTGCTTATCTCCATATCTAAGCCAAAGAGCTGGCATTGTCCGTAGACACCTCCAAGGTCATGTGGCCAACATGACTTCATGGTGTGCTGTTACCTTCCTGCCGGAGCGGTACCTATTGATCTATTCACATTTGAATGTCTTCAAACTGCTAGGTTGGAAGAAGCTGGGGCTAACAGCACGAACTCACATCGCTCCCCAGATTCGAACCAGTGACCTTTCAGTCAGCAAGTTCCTTATGGCAGAGATTAATGGGAGAAAAACAATTTCAAGCTCAAGGGGTAGCCAATGGATCTGTTACAATGGGGACAACAAATCCATTATTTGTTTGATAGCCACATTTCCCACAACTGATCCAGGCGCACAATGTCCAATGCCAAGCCTCTGCTAGGAAGGGGACTCAGTAGCTGAGTGGCACAGGGAAATCTCTGGAAGGCAAAGTGACTCATAAAACTTTGCAGATCTCTGAAAATCAATTATTTGGCTGAACAAAGTCAATCAACAAGAGTAGGAAGGTTTTAGCTCCTTCTCTCTGCCTTTTTGCAAGATTTTATATCCAGATATGGTATTTTAGAACATTTCTTCATTATGTGTACATTGGGCTTACAACCTATGTAAGATCTTCAAAAATGATCCTAACTCTAATTCACGATCCCACTTGCAGGAAGGGAGATCCAGATTGTGAGAAACGTCTTGCTGAACTATTTCAGTTCCCTCTAGCAAAGAACTAGGCAGATGCTTTTCGGAAACTCACAAGCAGTGTGTGTAAAGAGCTACTAGACCTCTCCTTCTGTCTGGTAGGAGATATGTTGTGAAAGATAACACATGCGTTCTGTCATTCTCCCAATACAGAATTGGCCTGGCATTCCAGAAACTACATCATAGATGCAGAGTGTGATATTTCACCAGGAGCCATGTTGCAATTATCTATGCAAAAAAGAAGAGACATGCCTGTGTGCTATAGCAGGTTTGTGTCCTTCTCCTTTACACCAAGGGACATCTTCATGCAGGTAGGAGAGTCCATGAGCCATTGTTTCAGCCATATGACAGAGTTCATTCCAACTAATAATGTTTCCCTTCAGGTAGTCAGTCAGAGAGCCCTGGAAGGAATTCAACAGAAAATATCACATTTTGTCAGAGACCCTTACTGGAAGTAGTTGTTTACAAAGCATACTATAGTGGGAATGGACACAATCCAAGGAAAACTGAGCACTTTACGATGCTTATATATACATAAAGGTAATTATTAAGTCGAGTATTGTCTGACTCTGGGGGGTGGTGTTCTTATCCATTTCTAAGTCAAAGAGCTGGCATTGTCCGTAGACACCTCCAAGGTCATTTGGTCAGCATGGAGTGCCATTACCTTTCCGCCGAAACAGTACCTACTGATCTAGTCACATTTGCATGTTTTCAAACTGCTAGGTTGGCAGGAGCTATGGCTAACAGCAGGAGCTCACCCCGCTCCCCGGATTCGAGCCGCCAACCTATTGGTCAGCTAGTTACAGCCTGTGTTAGATGGGGTTACACTCCCCCTGAAGACGCAGGTTCACAGTTTGGGTGTGATCTTGGACTCATCGCTGAGCCTGGAGCCCCAGGTTTTGGCGGTGACCAGGGGAGCATTCGCACAGTTAAAACTTATGTGCCAGCTGTGCCCGTACCTTGGGAAGTCTGACTTGGCCACGGTAGTCCACGCTGTGATTTAAGTAATGAGACGCTGTGGATTTATACTTTTATCGGTTTTATTTTATCAAATATTATTTATGCTAAATGTTTTAATTGTTCTTTGTTATTGTAGGCATCAAATTGTGCCGTTTGTAAACCGCCCTGAGTGGCCTTCGGGCTGAGAAAGGCGGGATATAAATATGGTTAATAAAATTATTATTAATAATAATAATACTACTCATAGCTCACCACTGATTTTGTAATGCTTAGGTGGACAGTGAGCTGGGCTGAAAGTTGGGTACTCACCCCAACCCAGGCTTCAAACTGTCAACCTTTTGATTGGTGTGATCTTATTGCTGCTGGTGATGAACGAGCTGTGCTAAAGCCCGGCCCTTTTTTTTTCGTGTCAGGAGTGACTTGTGAACCTAGTGTGAGAGAATTGGCCGTATGCAAGGACGTTGCCCAGGGGATGCCCGGATGTTTCAATGTTTTACCATACTTGTGGGAGGCTTCTCTCATGTCCCCGCATGAGGAGCTGGAGCTGACAGAGGGAGCTCATCCGCGCTCTCCCCAGATTTGAACCTCTGGCCCTATTATCATCAGACAGGCAGGTGCACTCCAAATTTCCCATCTATAGAGAAGGGAAATTGGAGTGAATGAACTATAAGAATTTAGCACTTTTGTAATACCAGGATGGAAGGGTTGAAGACTAGATGTAAAAGGACCTGACCTGTCGTAGCTCTGTGCAAGGGGAGACAGATGGGGGAAAGTGAACTATTTGTCATTTTATTTATTTTTCCTTCAATTTACTTTAGGCCTTTTTGTAGCTACCAAGATGACAGCGTATTCACATATCTCTTACCTTGTCATGAAAAGCTGTGATCAGCCACAGCTCTGTCTCCAGGTTGGTTCCTCGCTTCTCTGCTGCAATAAACTGCAAGAGGTTTTCATGCTTCATGCCTGGGGTGTTGAAAATCTCCCGCTCACTCTGCCAGGATTGCTTATCCTACGAGGGAGGATGGAAGAAGGAGGCAGGGAAGAAAAGAAATGGTTGGAAAAAACAAGTCCTATGCATCTGCAATATCATCCTGTTGTTATAGATCAGTGGTGGGAATCATGCTGCTGCCCAGTGGTGATTACATGCAGTGCTCAGCAGTCCTGGCCAGCACAATAAGTGATGAAGAATATTGGGAGTTGCAGTCTAGCAAAAACTAAAGGACCATATATTTCCCATCAATCTATATAAATAAAAATGTAATGTTCGTTTGTGGGATTAACAGAACTCAAAAACCACTGGAGAATTGACACCAAATTTGGACACAAGACACCTAACAACCCAATGTATGTCCTTCACTCATAAAAACACTGAAAAACACAGCAGAAGGGACTTAAAAAGCCCCAAAAAGCTAAATGACGAAAAGCTAAATGACAATACAGAAAAAAGGGAAGAAAGAGGGAGGGGAGAAAGAAAGAAAGAAAGAGGGAGGGAGGGAAAGAAAGAAGGAAAGGGATAAGGAAGCATGGAAGCAAAGAGAGAAGGAAGGAAGGAAAGAAGTAGAAAAGGAATAAAAGGAGAGAAAGAGGGAGGGAAAGAAAAAGGGGGAAGGAAGGAAAGTTAAAGAAGGAAGGAAGGAGAGAAGGAAAGAAAAAAGGGAAAGAAGGAAGGAAAGAGGGAGCGAAGGAAGGGAAGATGTAGAGAAAGAGGGAGGGAAGGAAAGAAGGAAAGAGAGAAGGAAGAAAAGAGAGACAGCAGAAGAGAAAGAAAAAGGGGGAAGGAAGGAAAGAGATAGAGAAGGATGGAAGAAGAGAAGGAAAGATGGAAGGAAGGAAGGAAGGAAGGAAGGAAGGAAGGAAGGAAGGAAGGAAGGAGGAAGTGAGGAAGGAGGGAAAGAAGGAGAGAAAGAGGGAAGGTTGGCCACAGCAACACGTGGCGGGTACAGCTAGTCTATATAAATAAAAATGTATTGTTCATTTGTGGGATTAACAGAACTCAAAAACCACTGGATGAATTGACACCAAATTTGGACAGCATACACCTAACAACCCAATGTATGTCCTTCACTAAAAAAATTGAGTTTGTCATTTGGGAGTTGTAGTTGCTGGGATTTATAGTTCACCTACAATCAAAGAGCATTTTGAACTCCACCAATGATGGAATTGAACCAATCTTGGCAGATAGGACTCCCATGACCAACAGAAAACACTAGAAGGGTTTGGTGGGCATTGACCTTGAGTTTGGGAGTTGTAGTTCACCTATATCCAGAGAGCACTGTGGACTCAAACAATGATGGATTTGGACCAAACTTGGCACGAATAATCAATATGCCCAAATATGAACACATATGGAGTTTGGGGGAAATAGACCTTGACATTTGGGAGTTGTAGTTACTGGGATTTATAGTTCACCTACAATCAAAGAGCATGCTGAACCCCACAAACGATAGAATTGGGGCAAACTTTCCACACAGAACCCCCATGACCAACAGAAAATACTTAAGGCCATCCAACTCCCTTCACAGAGCAAGAAAACGTAATCAAAGCCCTCCTGACAAAGAGCCATCCAGCCATAGATATAGATAGACATATATGATTCACACAGAGAGATGTATAGTATCACAAAGAAGGACTATGATATGTTGCATATTCCAGAGTAGGCAAACCAGACATCTCCACATCAACACTGACAAAGAAACAACAAGAAATACTGTTTACCCACAAGCATAAAGAAATTACATATATTAGAAACCAACACTTTGACATTACTTTATGTTCCAGATCAGCAGAATGGGCCACAGCAACGCCTGGCAGGGGATGGCTAGTATAATATATAACTTCCTAGCAGAAATCACTGGAATCAACAAGAAGTTTTGTGGTGATTTTAAGATGAACTTTTCTTGGATGGAGCTGGGAAAACAGTCACTATATTGTTGAAGGCTTTCATAGCCAGAATCACTGGGTTGTTGTGTATTTTCCGGGCAGTATGGCCATGTTCCAGAAGCATTCTCTCCTGATGTTTCGCCTCCATCTATGGCAGGCATCCTCAGAGGTTGTGAGGTCTTTTGGAAAGTGGGAAAATGTGTTACAGTAAGTTGGGCTAAAGAAAAACCTTATGATGTTAATTATTATGTGCAGCTGGTAATGTAGGTCAGCCAGAATGTTAGGACCACACCCGATGGGGTATAACTGTATGGATTTTAGAATACAGTTTGGAGAAGCAATATGCTGCTTTGAAAGAGATGTAATATGCTGTAATGCGCTAACAGCGATGCTCTTTGCTGTGGTGGAATAGCTATTAACTCAAGGTTTATGTTTTGCTCATTTGAATGAAGATGGAGAAGCCTTATTCTGTGTTACTTACAAGGACTAGATAAGTTTGTTGCACTGTTTGATTTTGTATGCAACACTGCAAGTTTATGTTTTGCCTCTGCTAATAAGAGTAAAGTTTTTCTGTTCCTTTTTCCTATGTGTCTATTGCATTGGACCTGGCTAGACCCCGCTTCTGCCCAACAAAATGGGGTTTATATATATCTCTATGGAATGACCAGGGTGGGAGAAAGAACTCTTGTCTGTTCAAGAGTTGTGAATGAAGTTGGCCAGACTTTGAAACTGCAAGGCCATTCAATGCTAATCAAGGTGGCCAATCGCAACATACCTTAAACAGACAAGAGTTCTTTCTCCCACCCTGGACATTATTCCACAGATATAAAAACCTCATTTTCTTAGTTTCCAACAGACCTCACAACCTCTGAAGATGCCTGCCATAGATGCAGGCGAAACATCAGGAGAGAATGCTTCTGGAACATGGCCATACAGCCCAGAAAACTCACAACAACCCAAAGGTTTTGTAATCTATACTACAACTACTAAGGTAAAGGTAAAGGTTGCCCCCGACATTGTCCAGTCATGTCTGACTCTGGGGTGTGGTGCTCATCTCCATTTCTAAGCAGAAGAGCCGGCGTTGTCCGTAGACACCTCCAAGGTCATGTGGCTGGCATGACTACATGGAGTGCCGTTACCTTCTAGGTTGGCAGAAGCTAGGGCTGACAGTGGAAGCTCACGCTGCTCCCCGGAATCGAACTTGCGACCTTTCGGTCAACAAGCTCAGCAGCTCAACGCTTTAACCCACTGTGCACCGGGGGCTCCCGACTACTATACAACTACTAGGTAGTAGTATATATCTGTATACATCTGTGGAATGTAGTATATATCTGTGGAATGTGTAGGGTGGGAGAAAGAACTCTTGTCTGTTGGAGCTAGGTGTGAATGTTTCAATTGGCCACCTTGATTAGCATTTAATGGCCTAGCAGTTTTGAGGTCTGGCTTCTTACTGCCTGGGGGAATCCTTTGTTGGGAGGTGATTAGTTGTCCCCAATTGTCTCTTGATTTAGACACCATATAATCTTAAGAAAGGGGTTTTTTCTTCCTCAGGATGCACCTTATGCACCCACAACCGCAAATTAAGTAAGATTTAAGCAAACCATGTACAGTAATTAAGAAAAATAGCTGCAACTCTATGCACCTGGGAACAATTCTTGTTGAATTCTGTGGGGCTTCCTTCTGACTAGACATGATGGAATTGCGATGTTAAAATTTAGCTTGAGGAATTCAAAAGAGACATATAAAAGGACAAGGACTATGCAGACGCTAACCAGATTTAAACCTTTTTTGTGTATAATCTTAACAGTTACAGCTTTCTAATCTGGATTAGGAGAAAATATCCCACTAGTTAGTCAGAGCTGGCCTAGAACAGATGACATGGAAATCGCCTTCTGTAAATCCATCGCGGCAAACAAATTGTGAAGGATTAAAGCATAAAGCAGAATGCCTAAAGATTTCTCAGAGTACAGCGACACTACCGGCATAAAACTGGTTCAACTATGAGCATTCCTTGACTTAGGAGAACTCTATAGTTTTGTGGATATCCTGAAATGGATTAGAAATCTGTAACTAAGACTATTTATTGTCGAAGGCTTTCATGGCTGGAATCACTGGGTTGTTGTAGATTTTTTCCGGGCTATATGGCCATGTTCTAGAGGCATTCTCTCCTGACGTTTCGCCTGCATCTATGGCAAGCATCCTCTGAGGATGCTTGCCATAGATGCAGGCGAAATGTCAGGAGAGAATGCCTCTAGAACATGGCCATATAGCCTGAAAAAACCTACAACAACCCTAAGACTATTTAGTATCTCCTTCAAACTCCCAACATCAAGGAGCTTCTGAACTTGCTGACCGATTCAAATCCAGGGAGCAGGGTGAGCTTCCGCTGTTAGCCCCAGCTTCTGCCAACCTAGCAGTTTGAAAACATGCAAATGTGAGTAGATCAATAGGCACTGCTTCTGTAGGAAGGTAACAGTGCTCCGTGCAGTAATGCTGGCCACATGATCTTGGAGGTGTCTATGGACAACGCCGGCTCTTCGGCTTAGACATGGAGATGAGCACCAACCCCCGGAGTTGGACACGACTAGACTTAATGTCAGGGGAAACCTTTACCTTTACCTTGTATGTTGTATATGAATATCAATAGGCACTGCTTCTGTAGGAAGGTAATGGTGCTCCGTGCAGTCATACCAGCCACATGACTTTGGAGGTGTCTATGGATAACGCCGGCTCTTCCCCTTAGAAATGGAGATGGGCACCAATCCCCAGAGGCAGACATGACTGGACTTAATGTCAGTGGAAACCTTTACCTTTATCTTAAATCTACTACTGATCCTTTATTTATCAGTGTGGTACTGCTACTTCATATTATGGGCTGCTGGGGTGTAGGTTGATATCCTAAGCTCCAAGAGTCTGGAACGGCATCTAAAACAAGCCAGAGACTACTTCCATCATATCTTGATTTATGTAGGAGTGAGTTAGTGGGCACCACCAATGCTGAGGACCTTGCAATCCATATCAAGAGCATTGCTCCTGTAAGCAATTATTTGCCAGCTAGAGACTCAGAATATGGTTAAACTCCCTGCTTCAAGCTGCAGGTGAAAAAGATGCAATTCCACACTCACCTGTATGGGGAAGATTTTCACTGCTACATAGTCATTCATCAGCTGAGCCTTCCAGACGCAACCAAAGCGGCCTCTTGCCTTGATCTCTAGTAATTGCAATGGCTTAAGTCCAACCAGAGGAGACGGCGGTGGCAGCCCTGGGTCCTATGGAGAAGAAGTGGACAATGGTATGAATAAACTGAAGCAAAGTTGGAGGTTGCTAAGATGCAATAAAAGCAGTTACATTGACAAAGTCTATTCAGGACATTTGCAAAACAGGAGCAGTAGAGAAAGGATATACCAGTGGATCCCAACCTTTGGTCCTTCAGGTGTTCTGGACTTCAACTCCTACAATTCTTAATAGCTGGGATTTCTGGAGGACCAAAGGTTGGGAACCACTGGGATATATCTTTGTTTCCAGATAAGTTTTATTTTTCTATAATTGCTTGAAAATAATGGACTCTCTCTGCACATTTCCTTCCCTCGGATCTTATTCATTCGTCCAGAACCAAACTCCAGTTAGCAACTAAGGAAAAGGAAACAGGGGTCAATTAAAAGACAAGAAAATGTAGGGATTTTAGGTAAACAGGGCATAAGTACAGCTGCGGAAACCAGAGTTCTTGTCTTCCTCATCTTTTTGTTGTCATTGTTTATTCATTTATAGAATCATAGAGTTGGAAGTGACCTCATGGGCCATCCAGTCCAACCCCCTGCTAAGAAGCAGGAAAATTGCATTCAAAGCATCCCCGACAGATGGCCATCCAGCCTTTGTTTAAAAGCTTCCAAAGAAGGAGCCTCTACCACACTCTGGGGCAGAGAGTTCCACCGCTGAACAGCGCTCACAGTCAGAAAGTTCTTCCTCATGTTCAGATGGAATCTCCTTTCTTGTAGTTGAAGCCATTGTTCTGCACCCTAGTCTCCATGGAAGCAGAAAACAAGTTTGCTCCCTCCTCCCTATGACTTCCTCTCACATATTCATACATGGCTATCATGCCTCCTCTCAGCGTTCTCTTCTTCAGGCTAAACATGCCCAGCTCTTTAAGCCGCTCCTCATAGGGTTTGTTCTCCAGACCCTTGATCATTTTAGTTGCCCTCCTCTGGACACATTCCAGCTCTTCAATTGTGGTGCCCAGAATTGGACACAATATTCCAAGTGTGGTCTAGCCAAGGCAGAATAGACACAATACTCCAGGACACAATATTTAGTCACTTCTGGCTCTTTGTGTCCTCATGGGCCAGCCCACACTAGAGCTCCCTGTCAGCCGTCACCACCCCCAGCGCCTTCGGAGTCAAGCCAGTCACTTCAAGGTCACCATCCATCCATCTTGCCCTTGGTTGGTCCCTCTTCCTTTTTCCATTTTCCCCAGCATCATTGTCTTCTCTAAGCTTTCCTGTCTTCTCATGATGTGGCCAAAATACTTCATCTTTGCCTCTAATATCCTTCCCTCCAGTGAGCAGTCGGGCTTTATTTCCTGGAGGATGGACTGGTTGGATCTTCTCACAGTCCAAGGCACTCTCAGAATTTTTCTCCAATGCCACAGTTCAAAAGCGTTTATTTTCCTTCACTCAGCCTTCCCTAAGGTCCAGCTCTCACATCCGTAGGTGACTACGGGGAATACCATTGCTTAAACTATGCGGATCTTTGTTGCCAGTGTGATGTCTCTACTCTTCACTATCTTATCGAGATTGGCCATTGCTCTCCTCCCAAGAAGGAAACATCTTCTGATTTCCTGGCTGCAGTAATCTTTGCACCTAGAAATACAAAGTCTGTCACCACCTCCACGTTTTTTCCCTCTTGTCTTCCTTCATTTTATGTTTCTAGCTGCTGCTTCTTGCTTAGCAGATTTGCTTTTGTTTTCAGGCGTTTGGGCCTAAGCTAAGGTTTCCTCAAACTGCAGCTGTTCGGGCCTCCAATTTCCAGAAGTTCTAGCCATCTTGTTCAATGATCAGGAATTCTAGGAATTGGAGACCCAGACAGCTGAAGGGCGACGGTTTGATGATGCCTGCCTTAGCTTGTACTTTTATCACCGCTGGAAAGAAGATGCTTTTAGTCAGCTCCTTGTGAACACATCTCTTGTGACTTGAATACTTCTTCCCCTCTCCCCCCAAAAGTTTATGTTTTCCTCATCTCCTTTATTTGCAGTGGCACAATGGGTTAAACCCTTGTGCTGGCTGAACTGCTGACCTGAAGGTTGGCGGTTCAAATCCATGAGATGCGGTGAGCTCCCATCTGTCAGCCCCAGCTTCCCATGCAGGGACATGAGAGAAGCCTCCCATAGGATGGTAACACATCCAAACACCCCCTGGGTAACGTCTCTGCAGACAGTCAGTCTCTCACACCTTGCAGTTTCTCAAGTCACTTCTGGCATGATAAAAAAATCTCCTTTATGTTACTGAAGTTTTTCTCATCTCCTTTCATGTTATTTAAATCCTTTCTTCCCTCACGCCTTTACTGGATAATACATACTTGGAAATATGTAATTGTTGCCTACATATATACATTGTAGTGAAAGAAAATGCGCAACATTCCCTCTTTCCTGTACATAAAAGTATTGCCATAGCAAAATTTGGCCTTGATAATATTAAATGGAGCATGTTGTCCAGGCCTACATTTGAAAAGGAAGATAATATGATGTGTCCTCAATTTAAGTCAATAACACCATACTATTGTATCCTTTCCATACAAATCCAAGGCTGCCTTTTTAAGAAAGGCCATTATGGGCATTATATCTTCCAATAAGTTTGGTTTTCTACCACTGGTTCTGACTAAAAGCATTACTTTGGAAAGTAAAATCAGGCTAATGGACTCTCTAAAAACAATCTTTCAAATGGAAACTGAAGAAACTTAAAGTGGCCCTTTCAAAACAAACACAGAAGTTTTGAAAAGTAATGTTTCAAAGGTTTGGGTGGCTTAGACTTGTGATTGGCCTAATTCCATTTTCCTTCTTAATTGTCTTCCTGAACTGTCTTCCTGAATCTAGCAAAACACTATGGACGTTTCCAGACACCCTTTATCCCAGGACTATCCGCGTTTTAAAAAAGCAGATGTTCCCGGGGGTCTGTTCACACACATGCCAGAAAGTGCACGCTTTCTGGGGTTCGTGTCCAGATGTTGTATTTGGACTTCCCAGTACAACATCAGGACACCATAACCTCCACCCCAAAAGCCCTAAAACCCCTTACTTGGCATCCATTCTAGTCTTGCTGGAGCTCTCCCAGCGCATGGTAATGACACGCCAGGAGGGGGGGTCATTTTACTCCCCCCCCCCCCCCCCCCCCCCCCCGCTCTTGTGGCGTGTCATTTCGATGCACCAGGACACATCTCCAGCTCATCCCTTTTTGGGTATCAGCCAGCACGTCAATGACTTAAATCAAGAAATAGTTTTCTAAGAGACACTTGCTGGAACACCCCAGCAAGCGAGAGTCCAAAAGTGGCAGGCTCAAACCCAGAACCTCAACCAATGGCTGATACCAAATGAGAGACACCTCCCCACCCCCCCAGGCACACAGAAAACTGGGTGACTTGGAAGGCGCTAAACAGACGACGCTCCTGCACCATGAGATGCAGAGCCAACCTTAAGAAATTGAGCTACAAAGTGGAATCCATGACATGCGAGTATGGAGAAGAGCAAACCACTGACCACCTCCTGCAATGCAACCTGAACCCTGCTATATGCACAATGGAGGACCTTCTTGCGGCAACACCAGAGGCACTCCAAGTGGCCAGATACTGGTCAAAGGACATTTAATCAACTACCAAGTTTGCAAATTTTGTGTTTTGTCTGTTTGTTTGTTTTGTTCTGTTATAAATATAATACAATTGTCTGGTTGCCCCTGACACGATAAATAAATAAATAAACCGGGAGAGCTCCAGCAAGACTGTAATGGAGGCCAGGTAAGTTTTCATTACTTTTAAAAGGGGTTGGGAGAGGGAGGGGTGGGATTCCCACTGTTTTCTGAACTAATTTAGTCCAGAAAACTGTGGGAATGGTGTCTGAACCAGAAGTACTGGGTTTATCACATGCCTTCCAAGAAGGCACAGAATAAACCCACTATCTAATTCATTTGCTACAAACCAGGGTTTTCCTGGTTTGTGGTGAATTAATTCGGGATTATCCAGAACATAATCTGGACAATCCCCTTTTTGTTGCAGAAGTTTCTGCAGGTTTTTTTTTGTCGTGTCAGGAGTGACTTGAGAAACTGCAAATCGCTTCTGGTGTGAGAGAATTGGCCGTCTGCAAGGTTGTTGCCCAGGGGACACCAGGATGATTTTGATGTTTTTATCATCCTTGTGGGAGGCTTCTCTCATGTCCCCGCATGAGGAGCTGGAGCTGATAGAGGGAGCTCATTCGCCTCTCCCCAGATTCGAACCTGTGACTGTGGGTCTTCAGTCCTGCCGGCACAGGGGTGCCACCGGGTGCAGTTTAGATCCACCCTAAGAAAGGTTCCAACTGATCCTATCCTGACAGTGTTACAAGGGTTGAATGAAAAGTAATGCCCCCACCTTCGTTAGTTGGGTTTTGATGGGAATATTTTAATAAATCAAACGCAGAAATAATCCTTAGAATGTGCTCTTTAACTACCACTATTCACTTTTCCACATAATCACCAGACAATTGGATACATTTCTGCCAACGATGAACAAGTTTACTGAAGCCGTCATGGAAGAAGTCGACACTCTGTTTCTGCAACCCATACAGCACAGATCTTCCGATAGCCAAGCAAAGCAATAATGTGACCCACACATTCTTGTGAAATGCTGATTATGCTTGAAATTTCTCTCTGTGTGATACAACGATCATCCTGAATCAATCTGTCAACCTTTTGCTTGTGAAACTCAGTGGAAGGAAGGAAGGAAAGAGGGAAGGAAGGATAGAATGGTGAGAGAGAGGAGGGCCTGAGAAAAGAGCCCATGGGGCCACATCCGGCCCCCAGATCTGGTTTTGCCCATACCTGCCTTAGGGTCGCTATAAAATGAAATCAGCTTGAAAACATATAACAACAACTTCAATGTTAAATGCAACAAACTAAACTGTGCTTTGTATACCCTTGAGTTGATCTGCATGCTGGAGACCTGCTGTCCCTTGTTGTTGTTCATTCGTTCAGTCGTCTCCGACTCTTCGTGACCTCATGGAACAGCCCACGCCAGAGCTCCCTGTCGGCCGTCACCACCCCCAGCTCCTTCAAGGTCAGTCCAGTCACTTCAAGGATGCCATCCATCCATCTTGCCCTTGGTCGGCCCCTCTTCCTTTTACCTTCCACTTTCCCCAGCATCATTGTCTTCTCTAGGCTTTGCTGTCTCCTCATGATGTGGCCAAAGTACTTCAACTTTGTCTCTAGTCCTTCCCTCCAGTGAGCAGCCGGGCTTTATTTCCTGGAGGATGGACTGGTTGGATCTTCTCGCAGTCCAAGGCACTCTCAGAACTTTCCTCCAACACCACAGTTCAAAAGCATCTATCTTCCTTCACTCAGCCTTCCCTAATGTCCAGCTCTCACATCCGTAGGTTACTACAGGGAATACCATGGCTTTGACTAGGCGGATCTTTGTTGCCAGTCTGATGTCTCTACTTTTTACTATTTTATCGAGATTGGACATTGCTCGCTGTCCCTTACACCATGGGATAGAACAACTGTTGGATAGCTGGAAGTCCTATTGTGATATGAATATTTTCAGCCATTTTAGACAGCTGTATCTGATGTTTGTTGAAAGCATGGTAGTCATGGGAATTTTCAGAACATCTTGGTGTAGCCAACCACTTCTCAGAGACAGTTTGTAGAACCTGAAAAAGTCTTACCATCTGAACCCACTGTTAACTGTTAGAGCTAGCTCAGTTCTTACATACCTCACTGATATCAACATGTCCGTACGGCGGCTTGCGGTGACGGTACATCCAGAAGGCCAGGAGAATGGCGATGGAGAGGGCAATGATTGGAAGCAGCGAGTAAACCAGAATGTTGAGCAGAGAGGGAGTTGGTGGAGGTGGCTCATAGACAACTGGGGGGAAAAAGAGGATAAGAGTATAAAGATGTGCTCTTTATGATGGAATGGCTATTGATTCCTGCATTCTGTCTTCAAAATGTTTATCGAGTATGAGACAGCTATCCCCAGCAAAAACCAAGTACTTCTGAAAAAATAATAATAATCTATATAAATAAAAATGTAATGTTCGTTTGTGGGATTAACATAATTCAAAAACCACTGGATGAATTGAGACCAAATTTGGACACAAGACACCTAACAGTCCAACGAGTGCTCATCACTCCTAAATACATACACAGACATACACAAAACTCCAGCAGAAGAGACTTAAAAACCCAAAAAATACACCATATATACATATACACTCATATAAATATACACATGCACACATTCATACACACACTTGTATATATATATATGCACAAACACAAATATACACACATACATATACATACACACATATATACATATACACATGCACTCATATAAATATACACATGMACACATTCATACACACACACACACACACACACACAYATATATATATGCACAAACACAAATATACACACATACATATACATACACACATATATACATATACACATGCACTCATAAAAATATACACATACATACATTCATACACACACACGTATATATTTATATATGCACAAACACAAATATACACACATACATATACATATATACATATACACATGCACACATACATACACACACATACATATATACATATACACATGCATAGACACACATATACACATAAATATGCTTATAGACAAGGACACACATGTACACAATATGCATGTACACATATAAACACACAAATGCATAAATATATACACACACATATATATACACCCACAGACAGACAGACAGATAGAAGCACACATATATACACAAAAATATACACAGAGAAACACATATATAAACACACAAAACACATATACACAGACTAGCTGTGGCAGGGACAGCTAGTAATAACAATAATAACAATAGTTTTCGAATACATTTATATTCCCACTGAAACCCATGGCAATTTACAAAAATTAAAAGAAAAGGATATGCAATGAAAGAAATAAACCTATTTAAGTCATTGTTGAGTATAATTAAATCAGCTACAGAATTAAAACCTTTTAAAATAAATCCATTGAAAAGGCAAAAATAGGGTGTCACACTGTTAAAATCCCTTACAGCCAGTTCCTAAATCCGGTTAGAATAGAAAAGGTTTTCACATACAGATAAGAGGAGAGCAAGAAGGCAATTGTTTTTGTTCTGTTGGTTGGTAGAAAATAAAACTAAAGCAATCAGCCTGTTGTAGTGAGCTTGCCTTTTGCCATTAGGCAAATGGAATTTAGGACAATGTATTTTCGAAGGTTTTCATGGTCAGAATCACTGGGTTGTTGTAGGTTTTCCAGGCTGTCTGGCCATGTTCCAGAAGCATTCTCTCCTGACGTTTTGCCTGCATCTATGGCAGGCATCCTCAGAGGTTGTGAGGTCTATAGGAAACCTGGACATTTAATGGATATATAAACCCCATTTTTCTAGTTTCCAACAGACCTCACAACCTATGAGGATACCTTCCATAGATGCAGGTGAAATGTCAGGACAGAATGCTTCTAGAACATGGTCATATCGCTCAAAAAACCTACAACAACCCAGGAATTTAGGACCTTTGTCACTATAACCAAGACAAGGAGTCTACCATATACCATGTAGCTGTGGACAAGTCTACATACGGACCATCAAAAGCAGCACTGCCCAAACTTGAATCAAGGACCATGAAAGGCACTGCAGACTAATTCAACCTGAGAAGTCGGCCACAGTAGAGTATCCGATGAACCAACCTGGACACAGCATATTGAGAACATGGAAATGCTGGACCAGTCTAACAACTACCATGTCAGACTACACAGAGAAGTCATTGCAATCCACAAGAATGTGGGCAATTTCAACAGAAAGGAGGAAACCATGAAAATGAACAAAATCTGGCTACCAGTACTAAAAAAAACCCTCTAAAATCAGGACAGTAAGTCAATAACATCATTAAAAAATGGGAATTCCAGACAGGAAACAATCAGGGACAGCTACAGTAGAGTCTCGCTTATCCAACCTTCACTCATCCAACATTTTGTATTATTCAATGCAGTCTGCCTCCCACCCGGATCCACAGTTGTTTCAATACATTGGCATGTTTTGGTGTTAAATTCATAAATAGAATAATTACTAGATAATGTTACCATGTATTGAACTGCTTTTTCTGTCGATTTGTTGTAAAACATGATGTTTTGGTGCATAATTTGTAAAATCAAAAACGTAATTTGATATTTAATAGGCTGTTCCTTAATCCCTCTTTATTATCCAATATTTTCACTCATCCAACGTTCTGCTGGCCCATTTATGTTGGATACGCGAGACTCTACTGTAACACCTCCTAACAAAGGATCCCCCAGGCAGCAACCAGACAGACTTTGAAGCTGCAAGGGCATTAAACGCTAATCAAGGTGGCCAACTGCAACATTCACACTTGCCTCAAGCCGACAAGAGTTCTTTCTCCCAATCTGGACATTTCACAGATATATAAACCTCACTTGTCTAGTTTCCAACAGACCTCACAACCTCTGAGGATGCCTGCCACAGTGTGGGTGAAACATCAGGAGAGAATGCTTCTGGAACATTGGCAATACAGCCCAGAAAACTCACAGCAACCCAGTGATTCCAACTGGGATTCTGCTGGTACTTTAAAGCCAACTTTCATGAGCTACAAAGATGAGTTCAAAGGGTACTACATGATCCTCACTTGACTTGTCATAGTGAGGAGACTTCTACATGCATGTTTTACATCTCCAATGACTTGCTTTCAGGAATCAGAGTGTCCTCACATTTTCATGGCCTTTAAATATCAATTGACTGAGATTTTTAGCTCGACCTGGGTAACTCTGCCGATATAATGTATTGTCGAAGGCTTTCATGGCTGGAATCACTAGGTTCTTGTGGGGTTTTTTGGGCTATAGGGCCATGTTCTAGAGGCATTTTTCCTGATGTTTCGCCTGCATCTATGGCAAACATCCTCAGAGGTAGTGAGATCTGTTGGAACTAGGGAAAAGGGTTTATATATCTGTGGAATGACTGGGGTGGGGCACAGAGCTCTTCTCTGCTGAAGCTAGGTGTGAATGTTTCAGCTGACCACCTTCATTAGCATTTGAAGGCCTGGCTGAGCCTGGGAAAATGTTTTGTTGAGCGGTGTTAAGATGTGCTTGGTTGTTTCCTCTCTGCTGTTTTGCTGTTGTTTTGCCGATATAATTTGCTTCTCACAAACATGACTTCTGCAGTGACACAAACATTTCAGAAGAGTTTCGAGAAGACGTTATTTTCTTTGCCTACGCTCTGGGGAACTGCTGTGCGACTAACCTCACTTGGAAGATTGGGAAACTAATAAAAAATACTTTCTGTACAAATTACCTTGCAGAACTTCTCAACTTCACGCTCTACGATGTCACCACTCTAATCAGGTTCCATGGTTTGGCTGTCTAGCCGGGCAGGCAAGGTTAGCAGAAACCCACTTTCTATACAAAGTTTTTTGTTCTTGTCGAACAAAAGCCTCACCTTCCGGACCGCTGACTTCAGGCAAGTGAGTGAATTTCTCATTGCAGTAGTTCCCCTCACAGCAGCAGAAGAACACTTGTGGACTCTCTTCTGTGGCCACACATTCCTGCCTGTATATGAAGACAACACAAAAGAAAGGAGGATTAAAGCCAGTCAATTTTTGAATTGCCCTCAAAAGAGAGGCAACGTCAGTGTATAAGTGATTTAACTTCTCCTATTTACTGCCAGCTTGTTATATTTTACCAATCCAGAGAACCTTTTGTTACAAGAGATTTGAGAGACATAAACTTCCCTATGTGACATCTCAAGAGCCCTTAAAAAGCACAGGAAGTTTGCAGGAGGTTATTAGAGGTATAATACTAATACACGAGTAAGTATCGCTCTAATATTCTCAGGTTTCAAGAACACATGCCCACACAGTTTCTTTATCATTTATTTTAAATGAAAGAAAGCAAACTGACAAGATCTTTTTCAACACTACATAAAGAATCAGTTTTTTAAAAACATCATACAAAGCCATAGTTGAATGAGTTGAAATGCCAACTGCTCCACAATGTCTGTCATGCAAGTGTAGGGAGAGCAGAGATGGAGATAATGGTATGTAGTAGGCATGTGCAATTTAAAAAAAAAATGGTTCTTAAGTCCTTTCCAAATTTGGGGGGGTAAAAATCTCAAAACTTTATGAAACTTCCGAATCGTCATAAGCATAAGCTCTGGAAACAGCAACAAAAAAGCCCACTACAGTGTTCCCTCATTTATCGCGAGTGTTACGTTCCAGGATCATACGTGAAAAGTGAAAATCTGTGAAGTAGGGACTATATATATACATGTGTGTGTGTGTGTGTGTGTGTGTGTCCCACCTCAGAGCTTAAGATCTTCTGGAGAGGCCCTGCTCTTGGCCCCGCCTCTATCACAAGTGAGGCTGGTGGGGACAAGGGACAGGGCCTTCTCAGTGGTGGACCCACGCCTGTGGGACTCACTTCCTGGGGAAATTAGGTCATCAACATCCCTCCTCTCCTTCAGAAGGAAGCTGAAAACATGGATATGGGACCAGGCCTTTGGGTAATCTGGCAGACTGACAAGGTAATGATAACCAGAATTTGGAAAGGACTATGGTAATGCTGAATGGACTTACGAATTTTAGAACTTGGTGAATGTTGGCCACTAGATTGGCTTTTAGTTGTTATTATATTAATTGAATGTTTTAACTTGTGGTTATTTGTTGTTATGTATTTTATCTGTTGAATTGTTGGCATCGAATTGTGCCGGTTGTAAGCTGCCCTGAGTCCCCCCTAGGGGGTTGAGAAGGGCGGGGTAGAAGTGCCTGAAATCACACACACACACACAGACACAGACACAGACACACACACAGACACACACACACACACACACACTTTTATTCCACCCTTCTCACCCCAAAGGGGACTCAGGGCGGAACACAGTATATATACACGGCAAACATTCAGTGCTGCTTTGTATAGACAGTACACAGACAGAACAGAAGGAGGTGGTTTGTTTCAGCTGTTTTTGGTGCCATGGAAGGTTGGGCTCGAGTCCAGGGGGTGCTGTTGCTCTATCCTCTATGACAAAGAGCCGTCAGGACTTCCTCCTTCCTTTTGGTCGCCCAGCATTTTCTGATCTTCTTTCTTTATGGCATCGTAAAACACCTTCCCCGCTTTTAGCGGTACCTAATTTCTCTAATCATAACTAAAGCCGTTTTCGAATTGCTTAGGTAAACAATGAGCTTGTTGCACTCCAGAACAGAAACGATATCTTCTGACTTTAAAACACACCACACGTCGAGTGAAAAACCAATCCTTTTATTGAAGCTCAGTAAAATAGCCAGTAGAAAGAAATACTTGTAAAAACAGTAAAAATTTCAAAATGTTAAAGATCAGTAAAATGCAGTAATTCAAAGCAATGTCCACAAAAGATATAAAAACAATCCAAGGCAGTATTTATCCGGACAGGAATCAACAGGTTCCAAAGATAATCCAGAAGGTGCTAGACCACAGCAAAATGCTAAAAATCTCTGTAAGAACAAGACCCCTTGGACAGGATTTCCTAAGCACATGAACCTGATTTCCAAATGATGCCTGATCTAACAGGCTTTCCCTTGAAGCAAACCTTATATCCCAAAGCCCAAAAATTGGTTTCGTTTTCCCCCACTCTTGTCTCTTATCTGACGAAGCCTTTTGAGGAGTGGCTCATGTTTAGCCTGAAGAAGAGAAGGCTGAGAGGAGATACGATAGCCATGTATAAATATGTGAGAGGAAGCCACAGGGAGGAGGGAGCAAGCTTGTTTTCTGCTTCCCTGGAGACTAGGACGCGAAACAATGGCTTCAAACTAAAAGAAAGGAGATTCCATCTGAACATGAGGAAGAACTTCCTGACTGTGAGAGCCGTTCAGCAGTGGAACTCTCTGCCCCGGAGTGTGGTGGAGGCTCCTTCTTTGGAAGCTTTTAAACAGAGGCTGGATGGCCATCTGTCAGGGGGTGCTTTGAATGCAATATTCCTGCTTCTTGGCAGGGGGTTGGACTGGATGGCCCATGAGGTCTCTTCCGACTCTTTGATTCTATGATTTGGAGTGATGTAAACATTGAGTTTGTTGTCAATCCTGGCTGAACTCTAGCTGCCTATTTTTCAACTCCCTTTCTGGTTGCTCATTAAAATTTCCAGGTGTCAGATTGTTTTCCAAACTCAAATCTTGAGAGCTCACAGAAAAAGGGACTAAACCATCATCCTTAAGCCCGGCAGGAATATTCTCATGAGAAACTGCCCTTTGCACTAGGGCCCCTCTGTCATTGTCGGCATGAAAATCATTGACCAAACCATCTCTGTCTTGCACCTCAGCACCATCATTTCCCTCATCATGTCCCAATCAAGAGCATCATGATCCTGAGCATCATGAAACACACACACACACAGGCTGATTCCCAACAGTGCTAAGCTGACAGTTGGCAACTCACGCCAACCCGGGGCTTCGAACTTGCGACCTTTTGGTTGATAGATCTTATAATTGCTGAGGATTTGCCAGCTGTGTTAAACCTCACCCCATTCTGAGGGTGAGGCAGAAGCGAGGAGAGATTTAAAGACTGTGCAATTTTTTTTTTGCTAGCTATAAGGAAGGGGGCTATAAAGCTGTCATTTACATACTGTTTTGTATCTCCTCTCTCTTTTTTATGATTGGCTGCCTCTCTCCCGAAGGGAAGGGTGAAACCTCCTTCCACACTCCATCATTGCCAAGAGGCAAAAACCCACGAAACAGCAAGTCCATGAAAAGCGAACCGCAAAATAGCGAGGGAAGACTGTATATGGTTCAGATATGTGGATGACACCTTCACCATTTGAAGCCATGGAGAAGAAGAACTAAACAGGTCCCTGGACCATCTTAACAGCATCCACCAAAACATCCAATTCATCAAGAAAATGAAGGAAAACTGCCTTTTCTAGATGTCCTAGTCATCCGTAAACCAGATCAACAATTGGGTCACGCAGTTTACAGAAAACCCCCACACACAGATAGATATCTACATAAAAACTCCAACCATCACCCAAGTCAAAAAAGAAGCACCATTAGCATCAGCATCTTTAAAGGAGTGACAACTATGCACGCTATGCCTTTTCATGCCATTTGTAAGTCATGTCCTCTCATGGGAAGAATAGATCCCATTTATTGCCTTTCCCCATCTTCAGAAGTATTAAGGTGTAGATTTCTCATGCAAAAGATCAGCACAGATATGATTAATTTTTTACAAAAATCTACTGTTTATACATTTATCAGTTCAGTCAAGATGCCTTGCAGGTTTAAGCAATATTTCCATTTGCTTTTGCTTGAGCTCATAAAGACTCCAGACTTAAAAGAGTGTTTGTAATTCTACAGGGAGAAAAATGTATGTTCTGCTAAATCTTTCAGTCTGGGTGTTATGTGGGTGAGTGGGTTGTAAACCACTACTCATACGATATTTGTTATTTCAGTAAGAACTGACTCCAATGGAAATGTTTTACATCTACACAAGTGGATTTTTTTTCCTCTTCTCCATATGTCTTATGGAAAAGATATGCCACGTGGGAAAAGACATGCCACATAATCTTTCTGGGGACTATCCTGTGAATGAAATAAAACATAATCTAGGATCCCTTGTTCATCTTTTCTAAAATAATGCCCTGCAACACATCATCCTAAGGAGCACAAATTGAATGTCAACTTAGATCTCACTGTTAAATACTATAACTATCTTGGCCTCGTAACAAACAATTCAAATCCTAAAGTCAATGTTGCACAGATTTATATAAGCTAGCATTTCTCAACCTGAGGATTGGGACCTCTGGGTGGTTGTGAGGGGGTTTCAGAGGGGTTGCCAAAGACCACCAGGAAACACATATTTCAGATGGTCTTAGGAGCGCCTTTGGTAGAGAAGGCTGAAGATCTCTCTGTCTGTCCTTCTCTTCCTTTTTGGAAAGGGATGGTGAATCCTCCCACCAAAAGCTCTCATCCACTGTGATTGGCTGTCGTCTCAGCCAATGGGAGGGCTGTTTCTGGGACTCCAAGTAGGGAGGGGAGAGCAGGTGTGCTCAGCGCATGGCAGCATGGTGTGCAGGTGAGGAAGTGCGTGTGAGCAAGTCCCTTCAAGACATGGAGGTTCTGTGTAAAAAGTTTAGACCAATTCTATCATTGATGGGGTTCTGGATTATAACTACCAGCAACTTCCAAATGTCAAGGTCTATTTTCCCCAAACTCCACCAGTGTTCAAATTTGGGCTTATTGAGTACCTGTGCCAAGTTTGGTCCAGATCTAACATTTTTTGAGTCCACAATGCTCTCTAGATATAGGTAAATTTCAACTCCAAAATTCAAGATCAATGCCCACCAAATTTATTTATTTATTTATTTATTTATTTATTTATTTATTTACTGCACTTGTAGACCGCCATTCTCAGCCCTAGGGCGACTCACGGCGGTGTACAACATGTAAAAACAGGTACAATTTACAACATAAGCAATATCACAACAACATTAAACAACATCACTATCAATAATACAATTACACTAAATCATTCGCGACGTCTCATTGTTGAATCACAATCCAAATCTCGTTATCCATGTTCCA